TGATCTTTGAGAGCTTTTAGGGTATTTTCAACACTAGCTAAACCATAAGGTAAGTGTAATCTCAACTCACCACAAGACTTAGGTGTCTTAGGATTATTATGTATTTATGTGCTTACTTGTGTTCATATGTTTAATTGATAATTGAATACTTATGATGTTACTTGATGGCTTTAGGTTCAAGTGATTACTTGATGTTACTTGGTTATGTTCATGTGGTTATGGTTTGTGTTCATGCATTACGTGAGGTTAGAGTTATGATGATTATAGTGTTCATGTGTTTAGTTAAGGATTGCACTTTGATTGCATTCATGCCATGAAAATATTTTCATCATGTTTTTAATGCATACAAATAAAACGAAATATGCATGTTTTTAAGAAATAAGTCGCAAAAAATAATGATTTAGTATATACTTTTTGCTAAGCTAACAGACTAGACATGTTCAAAGATGGCAAGAAAGCATTCAAGATAAGGTCATGCTCATGTTTTCAAAGAGGGCATGCCAAGAAAATTATTTAGTTTATAATCTTTATGGAAAAAAGGATTGGATATGTCTAGTGCTTTTATAGCTTTTCATAACGGACGGTTTTCTATGAAAGCTAAATATATAGACATTCGACGAGGTGTGCCCAAATCATAGAAAATATATTTCAACAAAGCATGAAAATGTATTTCCTTATATTCATACATGATTAAACTTACTAATTGTTAGCTCATATTTATCTTGTGGTGTGTAAGTAAGCTAATTGATGTGTGAAGACATGCTATAGTGGTGAGGATACTATCGAGAGTGAGTTGAGTATGCCAAAGGATGTACTACAAGTATAGGTTTATAGTTTAAAAGCTAAATTATAAACTCACATCACATTTGATAAGTTAATGTATAAACATGTTATGAGATTAATGAAACGGTTTTATTTTTAATGAAACTTGATGGCCTTAAGTGTAAAACTCGTTAAACTAAAAGTGGCCTTAAACTTTAAAACTAAATAATTTCATTGTGCATTATTCAAGTTAGAGGACATTGGGCTTAGTCTTACATCTTACAGTTGTGAGGTTACCATAGCACTTTTAACCTCTCTTTAGGCTGAAGATGTTACACCCTAGCATGGCATATCCCTAATAGAGTCACCAAATTGTCGCAAGGGTGACATCAATGGGTTTTTGGTGAATGACAAGCTCTTCGTGGAAAGGATATAGAATTAAGAAAAGAGCTTTCATTTTGGTGAACATGGATGGCGATGAGATATCTAAGCTAGTGAATTCTAATATTCTAAGAAAATATTATGCATGAAGGTATAATCCTTTTTTTCTAAAGCAATAAAGAAACAATACAAGTTGTGACCAACTATTTTTTAATAATATCATTTTAATTTGCTTCTTGTATCCTTGACTTGCACAATTTAATTCATGATTTCAAATTCTCTTGAAATTGCTTTGTTTTTACAAATGTGATCAATCTTAAAAGCCTTTTTTTTTTTTTTTTTTTTTTTTTTGCCTTCAAAGTGATTTTATGTGGATATTATTCATGAAAATGTTATAACATGTTAAAATTCAAAAAATAATGTAATAAAGATTTTATTAGAACTTGATAAATGATAAGATGCTTTTCATGAAAATTTTAAGAATAATTTATGATGAATCACCGGCGATTGTGATAGAAGACGACATTGGCCATATTAGTCAAAGTGTTTTAATATGAGTTGGTAAAACTCTAAATACTATAGGAGCAATAACCAAGAGGCGTGAGAAAATGAATGATTTTTTTATCCAATTAGAAGAAATGGGCACTAATCAAATGGTGTGATCAGTGGTTAACTAATCCTCTAAATGAATACAAGAATATAAAGTATAACTAGAAGCCATAATGAATGAACAAACCAACTCAACAAAAGCGATGAGTTTAAAACTTCGAACCTAGTCAAGCAAGATGATAGCTGAATGAAGAAAAAGGAGAAGTTTGAATTTTAGTAGTGATGGTTTATATTTCTACAAAGATAGTAAGAATAACTTTTATCATATGAACTTTTAAAAGATCATATTTTGGTAGCATCAAAAGTATTAATGATCATTATAATTACGTAGTATGGCATATGGTATGTTCTTTTTTAAGATTTTGTTTTGTGATTGTTTTTCATGTTGCATCAAGCTTATGATTTTGAAGTGCTTTAGAGGATGAAAATTATCATGCTTATCAAATTATGAGTATTACATAATTTGATTTGACTCGTAATTCATGAAAAGTCACCTATAATTGATCGTTGATCTAGAAAAAGTTACCCATATTCGACTATATTTTATTATTTTTTAAATGAATTTGTTTTAAATATGTTTTTTCTTTCCTTTCTTTCTTTACATTACAAGTTTACTACAAAAAAACAAAAAAAAAATGTTTTTCAATGACTTTATGTTGTAAGCATTGTGAAGAAAGAAGGACTATTGTAACCTAATTCGACCTACTTACTTTTACGAACTTTTCCAAAAAGATCCCAAAAAAAAAAAAAATGATTTCTCCACATTTCAACCTTGTATTATTTAAATTATTTTGATTGAGATCTTCAATTTTTTATTTTTGGCTTGATTGAGACCTTTTGTTTTTTGTTTTTTTTTAATTTTTTGCTTTAAACCCTCCGTTATAACATTATCAATCGGTGATCAACATGTGATATTGTTAAAAAAAGGAATCTCGAAGAGTAGAGATAAGCATGTCGATCACCGATTGATGACATTATAACATAGGGTCCGAAGCAAAAAATCTTAAAGAATATAGGCTCTTAATCAAACTATATATATATATAAAAAGAATGCTTTAATAAAAAAAAAAATTAGAAGTATAAAGTCCTAATGTGAGGAAAACTTATTTTTCAATAGATTAGCTTTACTTATGAGTCTTTTGACCAAATTATTTATGATGTATCATAATATCTTTGGACATGAGAAGAAATATTTGAGAATCTTGACCAATTAGATAGCCTCACCGGTGTATGTCTAAACTAAATATCACTATGCCCTCATAACTAATTGGTCGTTGTTTTTTCTTATATTTTCTAATATAGATGATTTTATTAATAAGAGTGTAAAATAGAAGTTTTAGTTGTTCAATAAGAATTGAGTCATTTCATCATCTAAAATGTAAATATAAGAATATTAAAATTTTAATCCTTGATTATAAATTACTTAATAGAAGGTATCAAATATTTTAAATTTCTTCATCGAATTCTATGTTTTAACAAATTATATAAATATAAAAAATTAAGCAATAGATCTATTTTGCAAAATTGATTTTTGAATTAATTACATAGACATGATTAGTCGAGTCTATTTTATTAATATAATTAATAGAGTATCTTTAGAAAGTATTTCATTTACAATTAGAACAATTTGTCTAAAATATTATTAATAGAAATTGTTGACTCACTAGATATGTGACATGTGTTTATGTATCTGATTTTTAATTTCATAAAGCAAGAAATGGCTTCAAAAAATGAAATTTCATTTTAAAAAATTTTAGAGATGAAAAAGGAAAGTAAATATTAAGAAAGAAATTTCTTCTTAGAAGATAAGATTTAAGATTTTAAAAAAAGTAAGAAAATTTTAAATTATTAGTAAATGGATTTATTTCAAATTTTTAAATATTTTAAATAAATAGGTACAATAGAAAATCATTGACTCACTATATATGCGATAAGTATCTATATTGATTTAATTTGACTAAATTTTCAAATTTTAAATGCGAAACATGTTTGAAAAATGAGATTGAATTTTTAAAACAATATAGAAATCAGAAAAAATAAAAAAAAATTGATTTAAAAAGTTTAAAAAGCTAAATAAATCGTTGCTTTTAGAAAATTTGTTTGAATAGACGAAATTAAGACACAAAATAAAATAGAGGGACAAAAGTAATGAGAATATTAATTAGTAAAGGAACACAATTAAAACAAACGAAACAATAAAAGGACATCCTGGATTATTAAACCTTTATGTAAAGTTAAAAAATTGTGACTCACTACTTATAAGACATGTCTTATTTTTATTTTCTCTCTCCAAATATTAAAAAAGTTAAAAATACAAATTAAAACCCTTCATTAATAATTTTTTTTTAAAAATAATTTCTTATTTTTTTTAATGTTATATCATACATATATGTTTTTGAATATTATATTTTCTTTTCAATTCACTAAAATTTTCAAACATAAAAATTTATTGTTTAAACAATTTTTTTTTTAAAAATTGAAAATTTAATAAAGTTGTGTAGCACACATCTTTGAAGGCACCAAATTACTATTAACGATAGTTTAGAGAAAGGATTCTAATTCTAAGCATAATACATCATAAAAAGACATCAGATATAATTAATTAATTGATTTTTAAAAATCAACCACAATGCCACAATCAAGGATGACAATAAACCACATATCTAATCCATTAATTCAATTCCTTACTTCATATATTAAAAAATATATTTTATTGATATCTATTAATAATTATTCTATAAACTCATATTCAGTTCATATTTAATTTTACGTTCATTTAGTACTAATTTAATTTGTGATAAAAATAATTTATAAATATATTTCATTTTAATCCTTATATATATATAAAAAAAAGTTATTTTCATTCCTGTATGATGAATATTAATAGGATGTATTGTAGGTATCCATGTTCAAAAACAATATATGTGTGTGTGTTGAATTAATAAATATTTATTAGATTGGATTGAACACGTATTAACTTTATACCCATCCCTTAATCATCGCTAATGACGAGCCTCACGTCACCGAAAAGCAAGTTTGCTAGTAATCCTTAAAAACGAATTATCAGAATTATCACCAAACGTGGTCGTTTGACAATTAAAAACCGGTGACTATCTAGGGTTTAATTTACGACGCCCACGCCCATGCCAGGCCCAGCTCCCTACTTCAGTTCTGTTTCTCTCATAATTTAAGCTGGCCGTTGCTGCTGTGAGTGTGCAGATTTGGGACTGACCCCTTGGGAAGAGAAAATGGGTGCGTAAGCTTTTTTTTTCCCTTCTTATTTATTTAAGCAAAGCAGTCTGATCTCATGTTCAAATTTTGCACTTTATTTGGTTAAAATTAATTTTGTATGGATTGATTGATTCATAGGGATTTCTCGTGATTCTATGCACAAGAGACGTGCCACTGGTGGCAAGAAGAAAGCTTGGAGGAAGAAGAGAAAGTGAGCAAGCCATTCAGAATTTTACTCTTTTTTTTTTTTGTTTTTTTTTTTGTCTTTTAATGTGCTTCGCTGTTTACTGTATTCATTTCTGTATTTGGTTCAACCATTTAGAGCAGCAGCAGGTTTGATGTCTGCATTGCTATTTGTTTCTTAAGACATAGAGGTCCGGCAATGAATAGAATTGTCACTAGATAAATTGCTTTACGAAAACTGATTATTTTGATACCAAATTGCTGAATGATGCCAGTCTGCAGTATAGGGCTCTTGCGAATTTTGACGTTGTGATGCTTTGACCTTTTGAGTTACTGTGGATCAAGTCTAGTTTAGGAGAGTCATTGCTATTAAGTTGATTGAATAAATGGTAGTGGTTCATCAACTATAATTCTTTGGCATATTTAGGACATATGTATCAAATGTTCCAAGATTGAACATATGCTGACCTTATTTTCTACATCAACACAGTGTTTGGGAATTTTTGAGGGGAGGAGAGGGGAAGGGAAGAAAATAGTCTTTCCTTGTTTGATGCTGGATGGCTTAGGGGGCTGTTCTGGATCTGAGTTTAGAGGCTGTTTAGGGCTGTTTAATTCTGTATTGATGTGGATTTCTGCTGGGAATTATAGAACTATTAGAGTCACACTACTAGGGTTTCTTCGAGTTATGCCTAGAGGATAGAAAAGACTAAGTTTTGCACCTAGGGTTCGTAGGAGGTACACTAAGGAGATTGAGTCACACAATCAAATGCAAATGTTGGAATTTTATGCATAAACTGTCATTGAAAATATTGAAAGACTACATGCTTATTTATAGAGTTCTTGTAGTCCAAATCCAACAAAGACTTAGATTCCTAAATAAGAAAATACAAGTCTATGTATATTAGGAAAAACCTAATAAAACACATAAATCTAGGCTTCTATCATCCGCATCATTTGTTTGGTTTTGTAACCAGGTGAATGAAAGTTTAAAATTTTTTGTTATTTGGTTAGAGGATGGGAATGAGATATTTTGTTGTTAGATTACATTTATGTTCTTTAAATAGAGTTTAATATATAAATAATAAGAATAATTATCGTAAATTTGATTCCAACATTTTCCAAGTATTTCTTCCCTTCCTTTCACCTTCTTCCCTAACAAACTGTAATGAAAAAATAAAAAATAAAAAGGAGGAGAAGATTGAAGTAAGTTGCCAACTATCTTTTAATTATCAATGTTGAAAATTATATGGTTCACATAATATTTTTTATGGTACAGTCATAGAGTTTTTAGTTGGAGATGGGCAGTTGAATTCCTTGACCAGAGATTTTTGAGAAAATAAAGGAATAAATCAATGAATGATTTCTATAATCTTGGTGAATTTTACACAGTTTTGTCTTTGTAAGTTTTGATGAATGAAAAGGACCCCTTAAGGCAAGCCAGAGCATAGCCCTAGCAAGACCATTTAAAGACCTTGACAAAGTGGCATTGAGGCAGTCATATGGTCTGAATTAGGTCCATTAACAAACTGTTTGAACAACGTGGCTGTTTCCTGAAGCCATGTTTCAGTTTTTAGATTTCCCACTCTTAAGACTGACCATACCAACCACCTTTTATGAATGCTCCTCAAAGAGAACAATAGTTTTATCTTGCAAATTTTTCTTCTGAAAAAAATAGTATCGTCTTGCATCGTTGTCGCTCAAAAAATCCTGTCACACTTAACCTTCTAGCTCCTTTTCTTTGACTCCAATCTCAGGTTTCGAAATGCTAGTTTTCTTGCAAACTCTAGCTAGGCAAGTGTGTCTTCTAACAACTCAAGCAAAATCCAGTTTTCTTTAGACCATGAATCATTTCTTGCTGTTATTTTGTTACTTGTGTCTGTATATACTACCATGTCTTCAACTCTGATGGGTTGACTCTGTTGTCACTCTCAAGGAACTGAAATTCTGTGCCTCATTCTATTACTCCGAGCTAGAATGTTTCAGACTAACTCCTTGATCTTGGCAATGTATACAACGTGACTGTAGAACACATGCTGTAGTTTCTTTGAACCATTTTGGTTATGGAATTTTAGGTCATTTCGGACCAGAAAACCAATCGTATATTTGGTCATTGTACTCTTAACATTTTCTTAATCTGACCCCTTCGCTCTTTTCTTTTATGTAGCTGGTCCCTGAATTGAGAAAAATTCATTCTTAATGTGGTTCTTTCATCGAATTTGCATCCAATTTCTTGTTACTTTTTGACACGTTCCTGGCCTGTGCTAGACACAAGTCCACCTTTTCTGATGTTGTCAAGAATTGACAACGAATTGGAAGGAAGTTGGATGGAGAGATCGCATTAAGAAATTTCCAAGAGTAGATGGACCAACGAAATGAAAAAAAGAGTAGAGAGGTCATATTAGGAGAGGTCAAGAGTACAGAGACCAAAGATGCAATTAATTCTTAGAAATTGGGTGGTTAAAGCAGTTGAACACCATCGATTTGATCACCAATGATTTTTCTGGTGAAATGTGTTATCAATCTATGTATTTGAATACCAACAGATTCAATTTTCGATTCCTATGAATGGTTGCAACTTGACTGAGCTCTTAGAATTCCCTTCATATAGAAATCAGTCATCTGGCATTATTCCTTAGTCTATTGCAAATTGTAAAAAATTGCAATTTCTCTATTTGAATGACGAGTTGAGGGTTCTTTCTACTTTACCTGAGAGTCGAACAAATTTTGAAAGCCTTTTGATTGATTTGTCAATCATAAAGTGCAATCCTTTAGGTTTCAGCAATTGTAAGAATTTGGAAACTTTAGATTTGCATTCAAAACCTTTGTTGGGGGTCTTTCTCCGGATTTAGGCAATTGTAGTAGCTTTTTAACCTTGGGCATTATCCATAGTAACTTAAGAGGACTATGCTGTCTTACCTTGACCTCTCTGAGAGTAAATTGTCTGGGAAGATTCCTCCTGAACTTAGGATTGCAACCCCTTCACTTGAGACCTTAAATTTGTACACAAATCGACTCAAGGGAGAGACTCCGAGTGAATTGGGGAGGCTAGGTCAGGTTCTCGAATTGTTAGATGTAACTAAATATCTCGCATACCTGCAGCTTTGTGGATTGCTTATTGTGTTTTGTGGTATTTGTATTTTAGTCCTTTAGTAAGTAATAATTTCCTTTATGATCAATTAATTTAGATTTTATATAGTGCTCTTCTTGATGGATTGCCTTAAAAAATTGAACTTTCAGATGGATAGTTTCAATTTTTTTTAAAGTATAATTCTTTCTTTTGTGTTCCCTTCTAGTTTGTAAATCTTAGTGGCTGTTTCCTTACACCATGAGTGAAAGCATGCGCGTGATCTGTCTCTTAATTCTGAATGTGGAAGAGCCATAGTTATAAAAAGTACAAAAAGCATCAAATGTTAGTTGATTTTTAGTGGTTAAACTATGTTTTTTCCGCTTATAGATTTGTCAATGTTCCACTTCTACCCTCAGTTTAAAACTCTCCAATGTTACCTCTGTAGGTTTTAGAAGGTTCTAATTTTGCCCTTTAATTCTAAATAACTAACAAAAAAGTTGACTTTTTTTCATATTTTTATTATTTTTTCACACTTTCTCTTGTTGTTTCCTCTCAGATCTCCATATATGTTATAATACCTCACAAAAACACTTAAAAACCTGAAAAGGCCCAAAACCAAATGCAAAAGGTAAGCTATTTAATGGTTAAGGCAAACATTAGAACTTTCAGAAACTAGAAGGGTAACATTGAGAATTTTAAACGTTAGGGGTGAAGTGGAACATTAATGAATCTGTAGGGGCAAAAATGAAATTTACCCTTTTATATTTTATCGTGTGTACTTACTTAGATATCTAGATTCATGTCTTTTTCTGTCTGAAGGTATGAGCTTGGAAGGCAACCTGCAAACACTAAACTGTCAAGCAACAAGACAGTGAGGAGGATTAGGGTTCGAGGAGGAAATGTGAAGTGGCGTGCGCTGAGGCTTGATACTGGAAACTACTCATGGGGCAGTGAGGCTGTGACCCGAAAGACCCGAGTTCTTGATGTGGTGTACAATGCATCTAACAATGAACTGGTTCGCACTCAGACTTTGGTGAAAAGTGCGATCGTTCAGGTTGATGCTGCACCTTTCAAGCAGTGGTATCTCCAGCACTATGGTGTTGACATTGGCCGCAAGAAGAAAATTACAGCTGCAAAGAAGGAAGGAGAGGTATGACCTTGAAATTGTTTTTCCTTTCTGGCACCTCATTTACTTCTTTTATGCTACCTTTGAATGTTTGTTTTATATTGGTATATTAAGTATTTATTCATTTTCCTTTGTGTTGCCAATATCTTGTGATATTAATAGATTTTGCATTCCTCAATGTTCTTTAGGCCAGCAAAATGCCAATTTAGTGTGTTGTTGCTAATGGTTGTTTATGCTTGTGGAATACTTATCTCATTGTGTAGCATTAGTAAACTTGACGAGTTTTTACTTTTTTCTCAATTCTGAAGCACTGTAGATGGAATTGTAAGCACTTGTCATGTGTGTATGCACGCTCACATGTGTGTGTGTGTGTGAAAGGTCATTCTTAGACTTGATTGTGTGAGGTTATGCCACTAAACTATTTTGTTGGTCAGCCTTTTTTGGAGATTTGGATGTCAGAGAAAAATATGCCCTACAATCTGGGAATGAACGCCTCTGAAAAATTATATGCAATTTATATGACTTTGAGTTCTGATTCTATGAGTGGCATTCATCTTAGTGGTATTGTGTTTTGGTAATGGCCTGTAAATGAACCATAAATTCTTCATTTGTTTATAGGAAGGTGAAGCTGTTACTGAGGAGGTCAAGAAGAGCAATCATGTGCTGAGAAAGTTGGAAAAGAGACAGCAGATTCGCAAGCTTGACCCACATATTGAAGAGCAGTTTGGCAGTGGCCGTTTATTAGCTAGTATTTCTTCTCGTCCTGGTCAATGTGGCCGTGCTGATGGGTATGTGACCTTCTCCGGCATCTATTTCTCGATTTTTCTAAATATGGCTAGATGAAGATAATAAAAATGTAGCTGACCATTTTAGTTCCTTGGAAGCGTTCTTTTCCACCAAAGGTTTCTAAGACGATCTTTCTTCTTTTTTTTTTTTTTTTTTTTTGGTGACAGGTATATCTTGGAGGGCAAAGAGTTGGAGTTCTACATGAAGAAGATACAAAGGAAGAAGGGCAAGGGAGCTGGGGCAGCATAAAATAAATTTTTGTTACCCAAATCTGCAATTTCTGAGCAGGCTTATTCTACTTTCACCTTACTTTCCCTTGTACTGGATGTTGAATTTATGATGAGATGAGAGATAGAACTTTGACAACCTATATTATTGTTGAGTCCTCAATTAAAATCTTAGGGTGGTTCTTGTCAACTTGTGTTTTGATTTTGACTCGATGAATTACTAAAATTATTACAATTTAAGCATCTATCCATTTAATAATTTGAGTTATTTTACTAGTTACTGGCATGTGCTATGTTACCTGTCCTGTGAAATTCTAGTTGTTCACGTGTCTGTCACTGTGAATTATTGAAAGGCTAAAATGTTTGAAATTTTTTATCTGTTGGTACAACAAGGTACTGCGTGGTTTCAATCTGAAACTGAAATTGAGCAGTTCAAGGTTGCTTTGTTTTTATGTAGTCTCTAAATGGGACGGTTTTTTATTCCGAATCCTGAAGTGGGACGTTGCATACAAGCTTTCCTTCTCCTGTTATCTTCGGTGCTTGCTCAAACGGCTATCGAAAGGTCGCTGGTGACTTCAATTTTTTTATTTCTTGGGGATGATATGAGTAGAGTATTGTCTTTTTCAGTAGCCTTTTTGTTTGAGAGAGAGCGATTTTGTATATATATATATATACACTGTTGAATTTAAAATTTAAATAATCGACTATTATTTGTTTGTTAGTTATTCCACAAATTTTTATTTTTATTTTTTACCACCTTAATAACTTGGTATGTAGTATGAAAAGTACGCAAAATATCACCTTGTGTCCTTGAACTTTCAGTTTTTAGGGATTGAATCTTTTGTTCCATTTTAGATCATGTCAATCTTTCTACTTAAATTTTGGAGACTTTTTAACCCTTCTATCTACTTTCATCACGGAAACTTGTTAGTTTGGCTAACACAGTTAATAGTGGCGGACGCAAGATCAAATGTCCATAAAGGTCAAAGTAAATGTTTATAAATTTGCTATGGTTTATACACATTTATATATATTATAAATAACATATCAATATATATTTTACTCAAAATAGAGATTTTTGTATTTTTAAGTCACGAAAATCATCTATAAACGAATCTATATTAAATTTTTCAGCAATTGTTTTTTCAATATACACTAATAAATAATCGGAAAGAAAGTTATCTTTCATCTTGTTACGAAACTTAGTTTTGACTATTCTTATAGCTAAAAATGATCGATTAGTGGTAGCCGTAGAAACCGAAAGAGTACGAATAAATATTATCACCTTATACACAAGTGGATAACTCTTAAATTTCTTGTATTCATTAGTCATTGACATAAATCAGATATAGTTTATAATTTTTTAAAATCAAAAAGATTTTGTACATGATCAAAATGCTCAAATTGCATCCTTAATTGTAGCATTCCATGATCGACAAAGTCTTAAGAGTAAATTTCTGCACCAACTTAGAAATGTCATCAATTCTAAATGATACGTGCATCTTTCTAGAATCTAAAGCCGAACTACGAATAAGTGACTCTATCGTATGATTATTGAATCTATTATTCAATTCTTGCAATTGAGAATCTATCACGGCATTGAATATGTCAACTTTGTAATGATGCTCAATCGTAATTGCATCTTGTTGATGACAAGCTCTTCCTTTTCTTGCAACATAATGAGCACTCGGGTTTGATATGGGTATGTTGATTGCTTCACAAAAAAATTTTACTTTTGAAATTAATTCATCTCATCCTTCATCTATTAATTTTTAAATGAATAACTTAGTTGAAGAAACTAGATGGATTGCATTCAAAATATTCTAAGATTGAAGTTGTAAAGCTTGACAAAGTAAATCATATATATTTAAAAATTTTCTCATGAGATGCATAATGAAAAAAAATTCAAAAGAATGTAATCCCTCATAAGTCGTATTTGTATCTCCACGCCGAGTAGTTATAGCTCCATCTTCAATGATATTCGAGTAAAATTTCACAAATTGCACTAAACATCTTCATCAAGCTAGAAACAGCTTTTAGATGAGAACTCCAATGAGTATGCCCGACCTTTTGTAAACCACCAACTTAATTAAGCCATCTCCCATTTTCAAGTTCACCAATAGATAGTAAATATGCAATATTTACAAGCATGAGCAGACTTTCAATTGGTCATTACACTTACATGAAACGCTAATGATACTAACGATGGAGTTCAATTTGGTGAAAATATGATGGATAAGGATAACTTCCTTTGATGTAGCAACTAATGCCAATTACAAACAATGAGCCAAACAATGAGTATAGTATGCGAAAAGGCATTCAGTTGAAATTAGACCTTGTAATCCATTCCATTCCCCTCACATATTGATTGTACCATCGTAACCATGTCCTCTAATATTCCGAACACTAAGACTATAACGAGAGAGAAAAGAAAATATTCCTTCTTTCAATGTTAATGCAATAGTGCTTTTTACATGAACAAGCCTAAAAAGCGCTCCCGTACATATCCATTTTTGCCAACAAATCTCAATACAATAAACGCTCTTTTTTAGACTCATCTCAAGCTTCATCAATAATTATACAAAATTTTGCATCACTAATTTCTTTACGGATAACATTCTTGACTTTAGTTACCAAGATTTGCAAAATTTCCTTTTGCACTCTAGATGATGTGTATGAGGTATTTTGTGGAGCTTTACTCAATCTACCCTATCATTATAAGATGCCATGAAACTCAATAGTTCAAGAGAATTTTCATGATTTATTGATGTTTTGGTCTTATTATGACCTCTAAATACATATTTTTGAAATGCAAGCCATCGAGTTACATCAATTGAAGCTTTTAATCAAAGTCGATTGTTTGTAATTTGCTGAGAAGTAAATTTTACAAACTTTTTCTCAACATGCAAAGGTTAATTCATGAGATCTAGACATGCTTTCTCAGCATTTTTGTGAGGAAAAGTGGGATCTTTTCCATAATATGCTAAGAATGTATAATTTTTACCATCTCTAACTTTCTTTCATGATTGAAATCCATTAATAGTGAATGCATTTGATCCAAAAGATCCATTTGGTATATAAAATAAATAGCATAATAGACAAAAGTAGCATCTTTGGTTGAAGAATATTCTAGCCATAATGGAAATAATTTAAACTATGATGCTAGGAAACTACAAGGATGCTTTTCTTTAGATTTTAGATAATTTGAAAGTATATGTTGATAAGGACCAATATTAATATAGGCTCTTCAAACTTCATCATGTTTGTCGACAGGATAAACCATATTTGTGGTCGTAATCTCGGATCATGCTCCAGTTGAATTGACATCAAATCCTTCTTTGATTTCAACTCTTTGAGATTTTATAATAGGATTTTCAGAATTCAAAGGATCGGGATCAATAGAAGAATTTGACTCCTTATTAGAGTTTGAAGTGACAACATTCTTCTTTTTAAAGAATGCATTGATGGTATGTGACTTTTTCATGTACAATAAAAATAAATTACAAATATGAATATGTAACAATTTCTAAAGTGTGATATGCAAAAAATTACAAATTAACTTAAAATGAAAATAAAATATTTAAATTTTCAAACAAAATACATAAATAGATCACCACTTAGGTCTACTAGGAGCCACCCCTAAGATAATTGGTATACATACCTAAAAATATTAAAGATTATAGTAGCACCAACCACTATACTAATAAGTTGAATATATTTCAAAATAGTCACTTTAGTAATATAGAATCTATAAAATATAAACAAGAAAAATCATTATCATAAACATACAAACAATTGAGAATCCAAGTATATTAATCTAAATATGATTGTGACTAAAATAATTGAAGATATTTTTTAATAATCATTAATGAAAGAAGAATGGTTATTTGTAAATTATAATCCCGCATTCCTACTATTACAACTCCTTTTTTTTTTTTCTTTGGGTTTATAACTACAAACACAACAATGGCATAAAATTTTAAGATCAATAGTACAATTTTAATTCAAGTGGATAGATTATCATAATTTTACTAAGCAATGAATTCAATAGATACCGTAATCACATAAAATAAAATTAGAAAGACAACCAATCTAATATTTTAATTATAAAATATTATTTAAAAAAGAAAATTGGGAGTTGCTAAGATTTAATCAATATATAAAATGAAAAAAATTAATAAATTAATAATGTAAATAATATAATAAGAGTTACTAAATTATTGATTTTTGAAGAAAATACTTGCTTTGTTGTCGAATAAGAGAAATTCGGATCAAAGATAAGGTTTTCTTTTTAGTATTTTGAATAGAGCGAGAGTTAAGGGAAATAGAAGAAGGAACCGGTTTAGTAGTGATAGGAGGTAGCTAGGATCAAATTAAATAAATATTAAGGGTTTATTAGTGCTCGGTGGAAGAACCGAGGGCAAAGGTTAAAAAATATTAAAAGAGTGCTAGGTTTATCTAGAGATGCATTGAATGGAACAACATTTTTGTAAGTTCTTTAATATCAATAAATATAACCACCCAAATATCAAATTTGAGATATAAATGAATCGGCAAGAATTGTTTGCAAGCTCGATCTTTGGATGATAACTAGTGGTTGTTGTTTGGTTAAGTCCTTGAACGGAAATAAGATAGATCTACCGAAATAAAGATTTGAAAAGCGTAAAATTTGGTAAAAAGGATGGTGTCATATTGGAAGTAATTATTATGACAAAATAAAAAAGATGACAAAAGAGTATGACATGGGGTGTTTCATGGGAGTAAAAAAAATTGGAGTGGGACTTGGGCCCTCGTAGCAATCTCTCGTCATCGGCTTTCAATTGACCAATAAAATGTAACGACAAGGTTATTTTAAAAATTATCAAATACTTCTCTATTATATGAACTTACTCGAACTAACCTTCTTGATAAATTTGAACTTAATTATTATTAGGTCACGAGTAACTACTAAAATAAAACATAAAAAATTCTTAATCTTTTAAAAAAAAATTGTAAGTCTTCCATTTTGTACTCTATTTAAAA